TGCACATTGACTTGTGCGGGCCATTTCGGGTTGCTGCCAAGGATGGCAGCTTGTACTTCCTGCTGCTAAAGGATCGCCACACTCGATTTGTGTGGGTGATGCCGGTCGCTAAGAAGAGCGATGTGCTGCGGGAGTTCCAGAAGTGGCTGGTGCTGGTGGAACGGCAGGCGAAGAAGTCGGTGCTGATGCTCCGCTCAGACCGGGGAGGGGAGTTCCTCGGGAAGGAGTTCACGGACTTCGTCGACGGCAAGGGCATCGTCCACGACCTGACGTGCCCTTACACTCCACAGCAGAACGGCATGGCTGAGCGGGAGATGCGCACAGTCGTCGAATCCGTGAGGACAATGCTGCTGCACATGGGCGTGCAGCACCACTGGTGGCATCTCGCCCTACGACAAGCTGTGTGGGTGCGCAACTGCTTGGAGCGGTCGACTACGCCACCGGGGGCGACTCCGTATCAGCTGCTGACCGGGAAGAAGCCCGACCTCTCGCTGGCGCGGGTGTGGGGCTGCATGGTGCAGTTCATGGTCCCTGAGCAGCAACGAGGTGGGAAGATGGCGCCGAAAGCTCGCTGGGGGCTTCACCTGGGCATGTCGCCGGAGAGAAAGGGGTGGGAGGTGCTCGACCTGACCGACAGCAAGGTGATCACGTTGGTCGAGGTCATCTTCTACGAGACGTTGTCGCAGGAAGTGTGGAAGGCGAAGTTTGGGCCCACGTTGGGGCGAACGCAGGCACACCCACCAACGGACACCACGATGGCGATGGTTCCCCTGCTCGCCGAAGTCAATGAGACTGCTGATGAGGATGTTGTGGAGGTGCTTCCACCTCCCCTTGTTCTTGCTCCTCCCTTCCCTGTCGCAGATCGTCCTGCGTCGGCACCTTTGTCGGCCACCGGCAATTAGGGGAGACTTGAGGCGTCGCCTGTGGTGCCGGCCAGTGGCATCGCCGGCGGTCGACAAAACGCCAAGCTCGTCGACCAGGATGGGAAGCCGTCGACGACATGGGAGCAGCAGACAGGGGAGCCGGTTGAAGAAGAGCGAGCAGCAGGGGTGCAGTCGACAGGGGAGCAGCAGACGGGGTCGTCAAGAGGGGAGCTGTCGAAGTCAGTAGGAGGTAAGCAGCTAGTCGACAACTTGGCCGTCGACGAAGAAGGGGAGCTGTCGGCAGGAGAAGAGTCCACCGACAGCGACGTGGTGGAGGTGCCGATCACGAAGCCTGAGCTGCGACACACTGGTCGAGCTCGACGGCCGCCGGAGCGGCAAAGCTTCCACGCCTGCCTACCGCCAGCTGCTTTCTCCACTGTGTACGATGATGACCCGCTGTATGCCGAGGAGGATGAAAAGCTGCCGGAGCTCGACCCCGACATGCAAGCCGATCCCAAACACCGCTGAGACATCGCGACGATGACAGTGAAGGAGGCGATGGCAAGCTGGAAAGGCGATGCGGTGAAGGCCACCATGGAAGACGAGATCCGCAGCCTCATCAGCATGGGCACTTGGGAGCCGGTTGAACGCCCACGCGGGGTGAACATCATGAAGAACCGATGGGTGCTGACGACCAAGTACCGCATCGACGACACTGTCGAGCGCGAGAAGGCGAGGCTGGTCGTGAAGGGCTTCACGCAGGTGTGCGGTGCCGACTACGATGAGACGTACTCACCGGTGAGCAGTTACGTCACGCTGAGGATCTTCCTCAGCATCGTCGCCATCCTCAACCTCAATCTGATGCAGCTCGTCATGAAGAATGCTTTCCTGCAGAGCAAGCTCGATAGGGTGCTCTACATGTACCAGCCGGACTACTTCAACGATGGGACCGGCCGGGTGTGTAAGCTGCTGAAGAGCCTCTACGGGCTAAAGCAGACGCCGTTGCTATGGTACAGGGCACTCGACGGAGTGTTGCAGGGCGGTGGCTGGAAGAAGAGCCAGGTTGACGAGGCGCTCTACTTCAAGGCCAGCGACGATGGGGTGACCTGCTAGGTGCTGGTCTACGTTGACGATCTGCTCGCCGCCAGCAGCAGCCCCGCGATGCTGAAAGAGCTAAAGGGGCTGTAAGAGTCTGCCTTTGAGCTGCGCGAGATCTCACCGGTTGTCAAGTACCTCGGGCTAGAGATCGTGCGCGACAGGCCGGCGAGGAAGCTGTGGCTTCACCAGCAGGGCTACGCCGATAAGCTGCGTAGGCGCTTCATCGACGAGGAGCAGGGCGGTCGAGTCCCGAAGACGCCGGTCTCGGTCGATGCCTACGCCGAGCTGACATTCGACGACGAGGAGGCCCAGGAGCGCGAAGAGGAGGAGTACCGGCAGAAGGTTGGCTCGCTGCAGTTTGCAACGACGACGACGAGGCCAGACATCGCGTTTGCCTGCAGCAAGCTGGGGAGCGGCCTCACGGTGAGGAGCGACCAGCATTGGCGCGAGGTCGACCGCTGCCTCGCCTACCTCGCCGACACCCGCGACACCGCCCTGGAATTCGGCAGTGGACCAGAGTCGCTGGAGTTGATCGGCTACGTGGACGCCAATGACGCGGGCAACAAGTAGAACCGGACGAGCACAGGAGGCTACGTGTTCGTCTACGGAGGGGTCGCGGTCTCCTGGTCGAGCTCGCGCATCAAGTGCGCAACATTGTCATCGATAGAGTCGGAGTACGTGGCGGCCACGGATGCAGGCAAGGAAGGACGCCGACTTCGTTTCCTTCTTGCGGAATTCAAGCTGCTCAACGCTGGGAAGCCGACCATCCTCCGCGTCGACAACAAGTCGGCAATCACGGTCGTTGAGAGCTTGGGGTTGACGGGCAACCTCAAGCACATGGAGCGACGCTATGGCTGGCTGCAGCACATGGTGAGGCGCGGGAAGTTCGTACTGAAGTACATCCCGACCACCAAGAAGCCGGCAGACTTCCTGACAAAGGCGCTGCATTTTCCGGCTTTCAACCGGTGTTCTGTTGCCATCGGCCAAGTTTGTCTGGCCGACATCGGCAACGGCGACGATGATGCGCAGCAGTAGGTGCCGTGCCCTTCTGCACGGCTGGTGCAGTGACGGCGTGATGTGTGGGGGATGCACGCCGAGGACAAGTTTTCTCCATGGAGTACTGCCGTGTGGGCTGGAGGACCAAGCATGAGCGCGGCAGGGGAGTGTTACCGGGAATGGAGTGTTGGCCCCGCCCTCGCTTGGGCAACGCCTACGACTTGGTCGGATGTACGGGAGTAGCAACGACCGTTCACACAGGAAGAGCTGCTCGACAGGCTTCGTCGAGCTGTAGGGGACTGCTGTGGTGTTGCTGTCGACCTGGGAGCTCGACAGCCGCAACTGATTGGTCTGGGCGACGGGTGTGCCGTCGACCAGGAGGAGCAGTTCGACCGGGATGTCAACGGAGCAGTCCGTCGACCTGACAAGTGAGCAGCGGTCGACAAGGGGAGCTCGACGACAACAGCTTACAGTTTTGATCGACAGAAGGGGTCCGTCGACCAGGGGGTAGCTCGACGGGAGCTGTGGTCGACCAGAAGGACTTGGTGGTCGACCAGAGCACCTGGGGTTGTCCAGGTCGACCGGGTAACCCACTCGGCGAGTTCTGCGGAGGCACGCAAACGTCGTCGAGGTCGCGATGGCGAAGGCGACTTCGGGTTGGCATCCCGAAGTCGATGTGGCTCGTCAGGCGCAGACAACAGCCGACGGATGCGCAACGGTGCAAGTTGGGCCAATCGTCTGCGCGCATCTGCGAGCGTGCGCACGGCTGTCTACAACGGGGCAACGCTGGACAGTCGCTCTGCTGTAGCGTTGGCACACCGTCGACCTGCTGTGTTGGCAGGTCGCCTTTCTGCAGTGCTGGCACGGCTCCTCTACGCAACGCTGGTAGGCGGTCGACCATGCTATGCTGTCAGTCGACCAGGCTAGCTGCAGAGTTGCTAGGTGCCTGATGTAGTCATTGTTGTCATTGCTTGTTCAACAATTCTGTAATTCCAACTTTGCTAGTGAAACTCTTGCCGATTTCCCTCGTGATTATGCAAGCACTAAGGAACTAGGCAAAGCTACGATCACTCCTAGTAGTTCGTGTCAACCCCCGTAGTCTAGCTCACCACCGTTGTAGAGTGTATCTCCTCAACAGGAACCAGCCCCCGATGTTCATCACTCTCTACTTTATAGTCACCCGCCTCCCTGACTCTCTTCGCTCTGTTAGGGACCACTTTCTCTCCCTTGACCCCACAGTCCTCACTGTTGACCTTCTCGAGCAGCACCTCCTTGCAGCTGAGACTAGTGCAGTCACTGTAGGTGCTGCTCGTGGCACTCCTCGCACGCCCTTCTTTGAGGGGTGCTCCCCCTCCTTTTTTGCCCCCTCCTACGCCTCTGCTGCTGCTGTTGACGTCTTTGGTGCTGAGGATGTCGGGGCTGCTTTTGCTAGTGCGAAGCGCCACAGCAGCAAGGGCAAGGGTGGCAGGGGTGGTGGCGGGGGCAGCGGGGGTGGTGGTGGGGGCAGCAGTGGAGGTGGTGGAGGTAGTGGAGGTGGTGGCGGGAGTGGGGGCTTTGGTGGAGGCGGTGGTGGCAGCGGTGGGGGTGGCGGTAGTGGCGGCAGTGGGAATGGTGGCGGTAGGGCTGGAGCTACTCAGCGTGGAGGTTCGAGAGGTGGCCAGTGGCAGCAGCAGCAGCGTCGGAGCGAGACCCCGTCGCCTCAGCAGCTTCGTGAGTGGTTTTCTTAACGTGGGGCGTCTGGGGGTAGTGGTAGCTGCCCGTATGTCATTCGCACGGGTGACTGTGCTGGTCAGACATGCGGGAAGCCTCACCTTCAGCACCGCTGCTTCTCCCGCCTCGACGATGCTTGGCACGCAGAGTTTGGTAACGAGGCCAAGTGCCCACACTGGGCAGAGCTGCTTAGGTCTGGAGTTGCTATCTTTGACCTCGACTATGATGTTATCCTTGCTGCTATGTATGCTTTGTCTGTTAGTGCTGAGGGTGACTGTTACCTGTGTGTGCCGCCTAACCCAGGTATAGAGGCTGCTGCTCTAGGTGCTAGTGATGTTGAAGTAGGAGGAGCCATAGCTAGGGTGAAAGCTAGGCAAGTGTCGAGAGAAAATTTTAGAAGGAAAAAGGATGTTTCACTAAGAGAAGAAAGTACAAGATGGCAAAGGGTGCACCACCTACAGGTACTATAACAGTAACTACACTACAGCTATAACTATATGCAGTTATTCAGAAATATATATAAAATATATTCTGACACACCCCCTAACTGCATGCAGGAATAGCCATGTGCAGAACACCCCGTGAAGGGGTACAACCTGCGCAGCGGAAGAAGGAGAGAGCAAGTGAGGAGGAGGGGGGACCATGAGAGGAGAGGAGGTGGGGGGAGGTGGCTGATGCTGCAGCTGGACTCACACCAACCCCTCAACCTCCCCCCCCACAGCAGCAGCAGCGGCAGTGAGGAGAGAGAGGAGGAGGCGTGGCGACATTTGCTGCAGTTGTGTCACCCACCACCCACATCCCCTGAGCCTCCCCACCACTTCACACTCCCCTCCACAGCAGCAGGTGCGGCTGGGAGAGAGAGGAGGCAGGCTGGCGCTGTAGGTGCAACCTCCCCCTCACACCCTCCCCTCCCCTCCCCCCCCAACCCCAACTGCTGCACGTGCAGCAGGGAGAGGGAGGAGAAGGGGGGGGAAGGGGGCGGGGTAGGGGCTGTGCATGGGGCTGCAGATGCACGTGCAGAGGGCAGCAGGGCGCACGGGGCGCACAAGACAGCAGGGCGCGCGTGGCGCGCAGGGCTGCAGGGCGCGCGGAGCGCGCAGGACAGCAGGGCAGCAGGGCGTGCGGGGCGCGCAGGGCTGCAGGGCGCACGGGGCGCACATGGCAGCAGGGCAGCAGGGCGCGTGGGGCGCACAGGGCTGCAGGGCGCGCGGGGCGCGCAGGACAGCAGGGCGCGCGTGGCGCGGGCTGGTACTGCAGATCCCCTCCCCCCCACTGCTGCAACCGCAGCTGGGGGATGGAGGAGAAGGGGGGGGGGGGGGGGGCGGGGGGAGCTGGTGCTGCAGATCCCCTCCCCCCCACTGCTGCTCCACAATCCGTCACCCCCCAGGGATGGAGGAGAAGGGGGGGGGGGGGGGGGGGGGGCGGGGGGGCTGGTGCTGCAGATTCCCTTCCCCCACTGCTGCTCCACTATCCGTCATCCCCCAGGGATGGAGGAGAAGGGGGGGGGGGCGGGGGGGCTGGTGCTGCAGATTCCCTTCCCCCCCACTGCTGCACCCGCAGCAGGGGGATGGAGGAGAAGGGGGGGGCGGGGGGGGCTGGTGCTGCAGATCCCCTCCCCCCCACTGCTGCTCCACAATCCGTCACCCCCCAGGGATGGAGGAGAAAGGGGTGGCGGTGGGGGCTGGTGCTGCAGATCCCCTCCTGCCAACCCCCTGAACCTCCAAGCTCCCCCCCCCTTCCCAACACAAGGTGCGGCAGGGAGAGAGAGACGAGGAGGCTTGGCGGCAGCTGCTGCTGCTGAGGCACATCCGCCACCCCCTCACACCCTCTCCCCCCCGTCTCCATGGAGGGGGGGGAGGGGGGCGGGGGCGGAGCTGCGCGTGCGACTGCAGGGCGCACGGGCAGGAAGAAACTGTCACAGTGGGGGGCGGGGGGTGGGGGGGGCTGGTGCTGCAGATCCCCTTCCCCCCACTGCTGCAGATCCATTCCTGCCACCCCCTTACCCTCCAAGAGCCCGCCACCCCCATACCCCCCCCCCCCCCCCCCCCACTGCTGCACCCACAGCAGGGGGATGGAGGAGAACGGGGGGGGCCGGAGGGGGTTGGTGGGGGGGAATGAGTTCGCCACCCCCATACCCCACTGAACCCCCCTCCCTTCTCCTCTCCCCCCTTCCCCATGGGGGGGGGGAGGGGGGGGAGGGGGGCGGGGAATGAGCTGCGCGTGGAGAAACCGACGAGCTCCTGAGGCGTGCGACGGGCAGGAACCGACGCGCAGCCAGGACGCGCATCGGGCAGAAACCGTCGTGCACCCGGGGTGCGCGACGGGCAGAAACCGATGCGTAGCCAGGGCGCGCATCGGGCAGAAAGTCGACGGGGCCGACGGGTCTAGGGGCGACGGGCCTAGGGGCGACGGGGGCCCGCGGGGCCGAGGGGCCAAGGGCGACAGGGCCAAGGGGCCTAGGGCGTCAGGGCCGCAGGGCCAAGGGCTAAGGGGGCTGAGGGGCCTAGGGCGACAGGGCCGCGGGGCCGAGGGCGAAGGGGCCTAGAGGCCTGAGGCTGTGGGGCCGAGGGGCCAAGGGGCCAAGGGGCCGAGGGGCCTGAGGGGCCTGAGGCCTAGGGGCCGAGGGGCCGAGGAGCCGAGATCGAAGGGGCCGAGGGGCCAAGGGGCCGAGGGGCCTGAGGCCTAGGGGCCGAGGGGCCAAGGGGCCGAGGGGCCTGAGGCCAAGGGGCCGAGGTTGAAGGGGCCGAGGGGCCGAGGGCGAGTCGGGCCGCGGGGCCTAGGCTAGAGGCGACGGGCGACGCCAAGGGGCGACGAGTCACTAGAGGCCGTGGGGCCGAGGCTAGGGGCGACGGGCGACAGGGGTCGCTACGGGCGACGGGCTAGGGGTGACGCCAAGGGGCGACGGGCCTAGGGGTGTCGAGCGCAAGCGACGAGCCACGGGGCCGGGGCCTAGGGGCGACGGGCAACAGGGGTCGCTACGGACGACGGGCTAGGGGCGACGCCAAGGGGCGACGGGCCTAGGGGTGTCGAGCGCGAGCGACGGGCCACGAGGCCGGGGCCTAGGGGCGACGGGCCTAGGGGCGACGGGCGACGGGCCGTGCTGAACGTCGACAGTATGGCCGCACGAGGGCAGCGCGCAGGGCAGAAGGTGGTGGGCCCAAGGTTCGAAACTACTCTAATACCATGTTGAAGTAGGAGGAGCCATAGCTAGGGTGAAAGCTAGGCAAGTGTCGAGAGAAAATTTGAGAAGGAAAAATGATGTTTCACTAAGAGAAGAAAGTACAAGATATAGGAGTGAGAGATGGCAAAGGGTGCACCACCTACAGGGACTATAACAGTGACTACACTACAGCTATAACTAGATGCAGTTATACAGAAATATATATAAATATATATTATGACAAGTGAGTCTGTTCTCCCTGGTACTGCGCGTGCTGAGGCCTTGCACGCCTTCACACTTGACTCAGGTACCTCACGCTGTTTCTTTCGCGACAGCACCACCCTCACTCCTCTCTCTGCACCTGTACCGGTCAGGCTGGCTGACCCCTCTGGGGGCCTAGTCCTCGCCCGTTCCTCCACTGTTCTCCCGTGTCCGGCAGTTCCGTTCGGCTCACTGTCAGGCCTTCACCTCCCCTCGTTCTCTACGAACTTGGTGAGAACCGCTGCCCTCCAGGACGCGATGGTAACTACCACCACTCCTGGGGGTCAGCGTGTGTCGATCTGCACGTGTACACGGACGGGCCGTCACCTGGCCACGTTCACTCGTCGGCCAGGGTCGAGTCTGTACACACTAACTACCGAGCCTCCTCAGGTAGCTGCGTCTGCCCAGGTGTCCACGTCAGGTCAGGTAGCACCCCCTTGCTCGTGTCTCCTCCTGTCGCACCATACTAATCTGTGGCACCACCGCCTGGGTCACCCCTCCCTGCCACGCCTTCGTGGCATGCACTCCCGCCTCCTTGTCTCTTGTCTTCCTAAGTCTCTGCCTCCCCTCCCGCCCTCGCTTGCCCTGCCCTGCCTTCCTTGTGTCGAGGGGCGGCAGCGCGCCGCTCCTCACTCCTCCTCGTTTTCCTTGATGACTGCTCCCCTGCAGACTCTCCACATGGACGTGTGGGGCCCAGCCCGCGTCAGTGGACAAGGCCGCGAGCACTACTTTCTGCTGGTTGTTGATGACTTCACGCGGTACACCACGGTCTTCCCCTTGCGCAGCAAGGGTCAGATCGCTGATGTCTTGATCCCTTGGATCCACGCTGTCCGTCTCCAGCTCCGCGAGCGGTTCCGCCAGGACCTTCCTGTCCTACGTCTGCACTCTGACAGAGGTGGTCAGTTCTCCTCTGACCTCTTGCGGGAATTTTGTCATGGGGAGGGCATTCTCCAGTTTTTCACGCTTCCGGACTTCCCTCAGCAAAATGGGATTGCTGAGCGCCGCATTTGCTTAGTCATGGAGGTCGCTCATACCTCCATAATCCATGCGGCTGCTCCCCATTTTCTATGGCTGTTTGCGGTCCGGTACGCTGTGCATCAGCTCAACCTCTGGCCCCGTGTGTCCTTGCCGGAGACCTCGCCTACACTGCGTTGGACGGGGAAGGTTGGCGATGCGTCGATGTTCCGGGTCTTGGGCTCTCGTGCCTTAGTTCGCGATACGTCCGCGGACAAGCTCTCCGCCCGCGCTATTCCCAGCGTCTTCCTTGGTTTTTCCCCTGACGCGCCTGGCTGGCAGTTTTACCACCCCACCTCGCGCCGTGTCTTCCCCTCTTAGGACATCACGTTTGACGTGTCTGTTCCCTTTTACCGTCTCTTCCCCTACCGCTCTGCCCCTCCCCCACCCCCGCCGCTCTTCCTTGCTCCAGGCCCCCCTCCGGTAGACCCCCTCGCCCCTCAGGTGTGTCTCAGGTAGACCCTCTCCCTGGTACTGCGCCTGTTGAGGTAGCTGTCGGCACTGGTGCTGCTCGAGGTGTGGAGCCTGGGGGTGCTGAGCCCGAGGGTGTGCAGCTTGGGAGTGCTGAGTCTGAGGGTGCGGAGTCTGGGGGTGCTGAGCCGAGGGAAACTGCTTCTTCTGGAGGTCCTGCGGGTCCTTCACCACGACTGTCTCCCCGGCCGGAGCCTCTCTCCCCGCACTAGCTGCGCGAGTGGTTTGCTCAGCGCACCCGCCTTCGGAGTGGACCTGCCGGAGCTGGAGACTCTGCAGCTGGAGACACTGGAGCTGGAGGTACTGGAGTTACTGCTGGAGTTGGTGGTACTGGAGGTGCTGCAGCTGTTGGTCCTGAAGGTGCTCGTACCAGGGGTGCAGGAGCTGCCGGGACTGGTGGTGTTGGGGGAGCTGGAGCTGGAGACCCTACGGAGCCTGGAGCTGCTGGGGCTGGAGGAGCTGGAGCTGTTGGCGCTGGAGCTGGAGGCACTGGCGCGGGAGGCGCTGGAGCTGGAGGAGCTGGAGCTGTTGCCCCTGGAGCTGGAGGTGCTGGAGGCACTGTGCGGCCGCGACCGTACTTCGTTCCCCTGCTTCAGCAGGTTCTTCATGTCCCGCCTTCTACTGGCCTTACTCCTCCCTTACTGTGTCCACCGCTTGACCAGTCGTAGCCGCCGTTACTGCCAGCCTCCCCGCTGCCTGCTCCTTCTCCTTACACTGAGCAAACCGGTGGTCTTACAGAGCGTCGTGAGCCTGCGTCTCGTCCTGCCTCCCCTGTTTGCACTGGTCGTCGCTTTCCTCGTCCGCGTCCCCCTCCTGTCCCCGGCACACACGCTATGGCACTTCGTCCTTCCTCTGTTCCACTGCGTGTTCCTTTGCCGCCTCCTCTTCAGTCCTCTCTTCCTGCCGTCCCTGACCCTGAGTCTGACCGCGCTCGTACTGCCAGTCCCACTGTCTCTTGTCTCCTCGCCACTGTTCTCACTGACCCTTCCTTTGAGTCCACTGCTGCGTCTCCCCTCATTGCTGAGCTGTTTGACTTTGCTACTGCCTGTCGTCTAGACTACGCAACTGCTCTTGTTACTGAGTTTGAGTCTGCCAGTCCTCCGTCCATCGGGGGTGAGTGTGCTCTTGGCACGGACGTCCTTGAGGACAGGCAGGAGGACTTTGAGTGTCTTGCAGCTGCTGTACCTCGTTGTGCTTCCATGCTGCTTGCCCCTGAGGGAGACCCGGATGCACCAGACATCCCGACACCGCGCTCTTACGCAGAGGCGATTACGGGTCCTTACTCCTCTCAGTGGCAGGCAGCCATGGATGCCGAGATGGCATCCTGGAAGTCCACAGGCACCTACGTCGACGCAGTTCCCCCGTCTCGAGCGAACATAGTCGATGGCATGTGGATTTTCAGGGTGAAGCGGCCGCCGGGTTCTCCGCCTGCCTTCAAGGCGCGTTACGTTGCTCGAGGCTTCAGTCAGCAACAGGGGGTCGACTACTTCCATACCTTCTCCCCCACCCCGAAGATGACTACTCTTCGGGTGTTGCTGCACGTTGCTGCTCAGCGTGACTACAAGTTACACTCTCTGGACTTCAGTACAGCCTTCTTGCAGGGCAGTCTGCACGAGGAGATCTGGATGCGCCGCCCACCTGGCTTCACTGGGTCGTTTCCTGCAGGTACCCAGAGAAGCCTCCGCCGGCCAGTCTACGGTCTCGCCAGGCGCCTCGCAAGTGGCACAACATACTGAGGACTACACATGCGGCTCTGGAGTTTACTCCTTCTACTGCTGACCCGTCGTAGTTTCTACTCACCGACACGTCACTGCCGCCGTTCTACGTCCTCGTGTACGTCGACGACCTCGTCTTTGCCACTGCTGACACTGAGGCACTAACCCTTGTGAAGTTGGAGCTGCAGACGAGACACACCTGCACTGACCTGGGTGAAATGCGCAGCTATCTTGGCTTGCAGATCACCCAGGACAGAGCACGGCGCACCATCACACTGACTCAGTCACACATGGTGCACCAGGTCCTTCAGCGCTTCGGCTTCCAGTTCTCCTCGCCACAGCCCACTCCTCTGTCTACCGGCCACTCACTCTCAGCTCCACCTTCGGACGAGTCCATAGAGCCAAGTGGTCCGTACCCAGAGCTTGTGGGTTGCCTCATGTACCTGATGGCGTGCACATGACCTGACCTCACGTACCCTCTCAGCCTCCTGGCTCGCTACGTGGCTCCCGATAGGCACCGAA